CTGCATATTAGAGTTGCAAAATTTCCCTACCGCACTACCGGCATGCCGGTAATTTTTCACTACCGCAGGTTTATTCGTGGTATCTGGCATGTCTTGCCGGTAGCATGCCGGTATTTTTGATTTTGTGCAAAAAAATTATCAGCAAATGATTCAAACTTTGGACACTAAGAGGCTCTCAAATTGTAGTAACAGCAATATTAGCTAGCCACTGCAAGATACATTTTGTGGTAGAAGTTCCATTGCTAAGTGTAGGGGTAACACATGGACCTCAGCATTTCACACAATTCACAGGCTTGGTTATCATAAGAATTGTCAAGAATCTACTGTGGTCTATAAAAGGAAGAATACTCATTCATGTTGCAAAAGCACGATAAACTAGTAAGTCTAATGGTAGGTAATACGTATAGCACAATAAAATAAATAAATGTTCATGACAACATTCCCTAGGGGAAAAGGCAGAATCAAAACACCAAAAAACACAATGTTTGGAAACTGGCCTTGAGTCCTGAGATCATGAGATGTGGTCTGAGAAACTCTACAAAGAATTTGACACTGAAAATCCAGCTGAAAAGGCAGGTGTTAGGTAGCCCTGAGCCTGACTTTGGTCCCATAATTAAATGAAAATGGATTTGAACTGGCATTTTGTCTTATCTTTACAAGAAAACACATCATGCAGGCAAAATTGACACAAAGTGGCGCAATAATTAGACAACCAAGGATTTACTTTTAAGATTCTCTTTCCCCTAATGAATGGATGTAATCTGATGACGTAATATTTATTCATATACCCTTTTGGCTGAATAACTGAAGAGAAATGAATTTCTTTGTAGTGAATTACACTACAATGTTGATTTCATTATAATTTAATATTGTGTTGGATTATTTTTATCAATATTATCATTCACGAGGCGGTGGCTTGCAGTCGTTAAACATTTTTTTGCAGCGTTTTAATCAGCTGGTTAAAAGCCTCTGTTATGGCGCATCTGTTTCGAAATCGATGCCCTTGTGTTTGTTCCCGCTTGAGGTTGGAGAGGATGGAAGATATCGTTTTTATACATATTATTTGGTGACTATTCTCAGGACCAGTGAGTTATTAACACATTTTTTACATGATTCGTATCTTATTCACGAACCAGCAAGCCATAGTGGATAGGAAAAAGTAGATGTTGATCTCGCCTCCTCAGTTAGGAAGATGGCCGAATCTGTACCTACTTGCTTACCTATGTTTTGACCATCTAGATTTTAAACATTTGGCTGGTGCCTGCAACATTTTAGGAGAATATGGAAAAGTAGAACACCTGTGAAATGTAAATGTGATTACTGCTCACTGTCCAGTCTTCAAAAACACATTTCAGTAATTCAAGTCCTTTTTGTCCACACCTTTTTGATGAACGTAATAGTTTTTTGTAGGCAATACTTCTTTGATTACGGGTGATATTTTAACAGCTATAGACTGGAATTGAGTTTCAAAATTTTGGGTATTTGTGGGGCCAACTCAGCCAAAATCAGCCTGCTGGTATTTGTGGTTGGACAATGGATGGCTGTTGGGTGGGAGGGGCACTGAAACTGCCAAAATGTGGCATCTCTTGCAGGGGTAAGCTAGAATCAAGAATGCAGGTTTTTTTAGTATGCCGGTAATTTGGCGGTTTTTTTTGCTTGGGGCGTGGTAGCATGCCGGTATCCCAGGAATTTTTTGTGGGGCGGGGCGGTGCCGGTAGCAGCCTTTGGGGAAAACTTTGCAACTCTACTGCATATCATGTGGAAGGAGATTCCTAGATTTGTAATTGCAAACTAGTATAGAAAACCGGGATGTAGTGGAAAAGCAATCAAGCACCGTTTAGGACACCTTGAGTCGATTTATCTCCCAAAAAAAGACACACATCCGCCTTTTCTGCTCAGGTGTAACCCAAAACTGCTAAGGCTGTCACCGGATACCTGGCTAAACCTGTGCACTACGGTCACCCCATGCGAGGTTTTCTCGGAACTCAATAATGAAACACTCGTCCAACTCTTATCTACATTTCCGGCGGCGGTGTTTCTGCGGAAACTTACCAAGCAGACACTGAAGTCGCCGGTTACATAAGGTGCTCTCGCCCGCGGCAGTAGCTTTATACTTGCTTTGAATATAGTTTTCGTTCATAAGTTTACACCCGGACGTGGTTTTTGGTTTTGTGTTGTTCCTGGAATCCATCGAGGATGCAGCGCTGTTTGTGCGTGGGTTGAGGATTGAGAGGGAGATGATAGGAAAAAGAAAGGGAGTGTAACAGATAGGGAAACGAACGAGAAGATGTTGGTTAGATAGGGTGGAAGCCGGAAGGAGCAAACTAGCTAAGGGGGTAATGGTAAAAGTGGGGATGAAAGCAGTGGATCTGTGCCGCCTCTGTCTCATCTCTACTGTCTTCTCCGCCCCTATTTCTCTCTCCTCATTCCATCTTCCTCGGTTGTTTTTCCTCACTCTGTTCGCCATACACTTACCTCTATCCCAGGGATTTTGACGTCGGCAGTTCACATGTGACCCGGTTCCAACCATCCCCTGGGATCCGCCGCAAATCCAGTCATGTGAACCCGGGGACGCTCTTCAAGGCTTTGCCGTTTCCACTTCTAAATGTAGACATTGCCTTCGCTCTTCGGAGAATGGCTCTCCTCGGAGTTCGATTTAACCTATATTTTTTTTTATTTGATCATCGTGCTAATCTTGGAAGTCATCATTATGTTATTTTAGGTAAATTCGCATCATGAAAGTATCCAAGATAAGAACAATGAACATCGAACCGAATCGAATCGCTTTTTAACGATGCTAAACTTAGGAGTCATCATTATGCAATTTTAGGTAAATTCACAGCACGAAAGTATCCGTGATATGAGCGTTGAGGAACGCATGAATCTATAAAAGCCGCTGACCTTTTATATTTTATTCGAATTACATTCAAATCACTTCGCATTCTATTCATGTTTGCATGATCATTAGCACAGCAAGTATTGAATTCCAACATTACGCAGCTGTTTTTTATTTCGCCCGGGGACATACCTAGCCTCAGTGGGTCATCCTTACGGCTCTGACCCAGGGAGCCACTAATACACGTATCAATGTCGGCTGGCTCGTCAGCGGATCTTTCGTACGGCTTCGGTTCCTAACAGGGTGTCTATTCAGGGTGTAAATCCGTACCCGGGGCCGTCTGGGGTCCATGTGACTGGGAGTCACGTGGCGGATTGAGGGTTTGACATGTGCCGAGGTCAGGGGGGAGAGGGGGGGCAGCAAGAGCATGAATAGATTCATGAATCCTGATGTGTAATCGGAACGTTTGGGTAGTGGGCCAGCAATGATGTTTTTCGAATTCTGTTCGGAAAATGTGTTGTAAGTTTTTACTTTTTTATTATTCCTGATCATTCCCGTAAGTTTTTACTTTTTTATTATTCCTGATCATTCCCTTGATAAGCTATGTACGTTTCTTAGCGTTCTGCTCGTCTATTTTGTCTGTATATTTATTTGGTTGTTTAATCCAACAGGTCAGTTGTTTCTCAGTAGAGCGTTGCTGTGGAATCGCAATTCCATCGCTGCAATTTAGTCCTGGATTTCATCACAACTTTGCTCCGCCGACGGGCATACCATCCTCTGACCACTCAGCGTCAACGGCCCCGCCGGGTCACCAGGTCACTGACCTCCCCCCTCCCCCGGGGGGGGGGGGTCAGAGGGGGGTGACCTGGTAACTCGCCGGCCGCCTGGACTGCTCAGCGCCGTCGCTTCAATAGCTCCCCGTCGGAATGATACGTCCGTTTGTGCCGCTCTTTGGCGACATGTTGGTAGACATTGCGAGCAATGGGAGTCGTGAAGATGGCGCCCGGTTGATGAGGTGGTCATATGACGTCATTTGGGACTAATGACGTCATATGAGGGCGAAAAGTGGCGTCTGTCGTCACGCAGAGACAGCGAGGTGGCCGAGAGTGCTGAAGACAGGCGTCCTGAACTTGATGAGTTTGTGTAGCTAGTTAATTCGCCGCCTGCTGGGGAACCGCCCGGCCTGTGCAACTTTGCGGGTCGGTGGGAGCGTTGAGATGACCTTTTATCTTGATTTCGTTAAGTGACAGCGCGCCTGTGATGTTGCTTAGCTGGCTTTACGTAACCGCCGTAATGATATTAAACGAGGTGGAAGGTTTCCCTTGCTCATATCGCTAGGTAAGCACGTTCTGTAAGTTTCCATTAGGCGACTAATTTAGCCGTTATGTAATGTCGGCTTCCTCCCGGTCGGAATGAGGCCACCACCTCTTCAAACCCTTCTACTGAGGTTTGTCTTGTCATGTTGCTTATCGTGTTATCCAGCATCCTGTTCTCTGTTCTGCATAGTAAACGATCCCTTTGTACTTTCGTCTTTTCTACCTTGTCTGTTATCTCGTTATCTTGTTATTTGAACTCACTTACCAATATGACGTCAGGTGATTTGGTATTGTGCCCGTGTTCGACTCTAATGCTGGTGGCTCTGTCGTCGTCACTCGATCTCGATGCCCGCTATCTGTGCCCGTTAACCTCACACGGTCTTCTGAGATATACCGGACGCGGTGAACCAAAAATACAGGTTATTGAACACTGTGGGATTTCAACTAGAGTGGCTCTCTGTGCCTGCGGTAGTCCCCCGAATATTAACGGTTCTCGGAGTGTCGGCCAGCAACCAATAAATAATCATCGTTGCAGAGCTAGGGTCTTTTCAAATACTTCGTGAAATAAAACTATTTTTCAAATAGTTTTATTTTTTCAAATACTGTTCTTTTCCAGGAGTAAGTGGTGCAAGTAAGGAAAGAGGTCTGCCCACCTGGCCTGAATCTGAAGTGCTGCTAGAGCATATGGTACTTGCAGTCTCTGACAGAAACTGAACTCCTTATCCCATCTATTACAGCGGGAGCTGGTTCAATCTCTGACATAATCTGACCCTCCATTTCCCTCTCACAGCTGGAGCCGGCGGTACAGTCTCTGACATAATCTAACCCTTTATTTCCCTCTCTTATAGCTGGAGCCGGCGGTACAGTCTCTGACATCGGACCTGAACCGCACCCGCCAGGCCTACCTGACCATGGAGAAGGCCCTCGACTGTGAACATGTTCACGAACAGTACATTGACGCCCTGAACGCGCTCTGCCGGCCGCTGCTGTGAGTACGGACCGATTAAACGTGCTCAGAAACAATGAGTGATACAGAATGAGAATGAGAGATTGATTGATTGACAGAGACCTTTCACCTGACAGGCGTGGGGTCATAGGTGAGGTTTAAATTCATGTAAAGAAGCCCTGAAACCAACACGAGATGCCACAGTAAATCTTATTCGGCCGCTTAATTATTATATATGCCTGTGGAAACCGAACGTGGATATTAGTTATCATACAAGCACGCTTTTATCTAAGCCTATGTTCCGAGTACCTGCCTGTGGGGCTTCAGGAGTCAACAACATCGAATCAGGCGATTTTGGCCTTAACCGTGCACTGAAGCCCTGTCTGGCCCGTGGTGCCATTTCTCGGTAATCGAATCACGTGTCGCGCCACCGAGTCAGTTTTCGGCGGCTGATCTGGGACCCCAGGGTTCTCGGTTAACCGTAATCGCAACTTATCAAACGAAATCCATCGAATTACCATTCCTGGTTCGACCCGGGACGAGGACCGAATATTTACCGAGCGTGTATTATGCGTCACATTATACAACCAATCAGCGACATTCAACGGGTGACTCCCAAGCCACGTGACTCATCCGAGTGTGCTGCCTCCCTCTGCCGGAAAGCAGGTCACGTGGTTCTGCATCATTGTGAACGACTTTCAATGGTCGCCGGGCGTACTGAGATGTGGTTGGGACTTGGGACACGTGATTTAGGAAGCGGCCGCGGTTTCGGGAGCAGTGAGATCTCTGGGGTGTTAAATGTCTAGTGCTGATATCGGGGTATGGAAACGAATGGCATCGGCCTCTCCAGAGGGATGTTGCTGATTGAGATTTTATTCCACTGTGGGAGAGCTGTAAACTGACGTGTTGTCGCCCAGGTGAAAGTTTCACAATAGAGGGGAGGTGTTGGCTTATCAATCGGAAGTGAATTAACATTTAATTTGCTGGGGTGACGGGCTCATTTCTTAGCATATTTGGTCTCCTTCTATGGTACGAATTTTAGCATGATAAATGAAAACTTGCTCTTGCTAATTTGTTTTAACCCGCGCCCCAGTGGCGGTCTCAGCCAACTTCGCCCTAGTGGGGGGGGGGGGGCATATGTTACCACCCACCTCTAACTCAAAAACTAAGAGGGCTAGAAAGACGCGGTAAAAAGCAGTCGATAGCTCTCAATGCGTACGTTTGAAAGTATTTCGGTCATTTTTCACCTTAGAGCAATATGGGTGTCACTAGAGGTCATCAAAGGTCAAAATTTGCCAATTGTCATTATATTTTTCAGAAAACATGCCGCTATCTCAGGAACTATGGTAGCTAGAAAAACGCATGGAACAGCAAACGATAGCTTTTGAACTCTTCTTTTGAAAAGGTCATTATCAATATTGACCTCAGGTCAACGGTTTAGCCTCCAGAGGGCAAAAACTCCAAAAATAGCTGTTTTTACGAAAAGTGGTTTTCGACAATAACTTTTGACTTCAAAAAGCCACGACATTTCTATTGCCAGAATCGTGTTCCTCTCGCCGAGACGCGTCGAATGAACTATAATTTGACCTTGAAAGGTCAACTTGAAAATTTGACCTCAGGTCAAGGTCATGACCTTACCGGAAAAGGTCATGTTGCATATCAGTCGATGCGTCTTAACAAGACAAACACAATGAGACCATCTCCAGCGTTCTATCTCTTTCCAATCGCGAGTTATTGGCAAAAAACTGTTTGTAGCCTCAAGTGACCTCGGATGACCTGTCTAGAGGCTATCAACAAAAATGACACCTTGGTCATCACGAGTGGACTAAATCATTGTGATTCTGAAATATTTGGACTGTTCCGATGCGTACACACGGATCTAGAGGCATTTTCATTTTTTCCATTGACTTGTAATGGTAAGGTCACGCCACTGACCTGACCTTAGGTCACGGATATAAAAAATCCGAGATATACAAATTGTAGGCGCCCATAACAGCATGCAATCCACCAAGTTTAAAACCTTTCTGACAAACACTGCAGGCTGGACATGATTGCAAACTTTTTTTTAGGCTTGGTAGGTTAACTTGACCTGGTGACCTGACCTGACATGACCTGGGGTCAAAAATTTCACACATTGTCCAAAATTGATGTACCAAAAGCTACCCCAAGCGGCGCGGCGCTACGCGCCGCGGTTTTTTATTCACACGCAAAAAACGCGACAGGGTGGTAACATATGCCCCCCCCCCCCACTGGGGCGAAGGTTAATATCCATCAATTCTAAGCACCAGAATCGCTTTCCAATGATGTCTTTCTCAAACGATGTAATGCAGATGAAAGATAAACAAAATTAAATCCTCTCTGGTATTTATGTAGGTATCTGTATCCCACCGCTTAATCTGAAATCCCTAACTATGTGCCAAGTATCGTTCCATTTGCTCCCGAATGGCTGAGACTTACGGTGCAGTGAATACTTGTTCGCCCCTTGTTGCGCAGATTTCGAGAAAACCAAGTGCATAAGCAAGCAGCTCGGAATTTAGATTTGTATCACGGATCGCCTATGTAATATTGAGGAAAGTTTCTGCGCAATGAAATTATTTCGAATTTGTAGCAGTTATATCAGACTATCTAAATATTATTTCTAAAATATGCGCATCTAAAATATATTTGTTTGAAATTTTGATGCTCTGAATTCGGAAGCATCTGACTGTGTTTACCATGCTGTTATCGGAATCAAAAGTCGTCCAACTTCCTTAACTTTTCGTTTAGGTCAAGTTAGCCTGCTGCGCACATTTCCAGGTATACATATAGTTCGTAAACCGTAACAAGTCCAGGATTTTTCCACTTGTACAGTCAATAACTAATTGCCTCGGCACCACCTGATCTATCCAGCTTTCTCTGCACTATTGGTTTTGTAAGTGCGCTGTCTGGGAAGTTCTGCGAACGACGGAACTATGTTGGCTTCAACAGAACCGAAGCAAGTCAGGCAGCTGATATCTAATAATCTGAACGTGACCTGATATATCTAGTTTCACCGAGTTAGAGCTTTCATCGTTCAGCCAGATGGATCATTCTTACTTCTTACCGTCGCTTTCGTTTAGCGAGCGTTGTTTTTCAGCGCCGCTGAAGATGTCACGTCGGTCATTTTTATTCATTTACTCCACAAGTCAACCACAAATGCGCTGGCTAGTCTCGTGCTCTTCATTTCGCGGCTCCCCTGTCTTGAGTATTGGGGCGGAGGACGATGTGTCTTGGCGCTGGCTGTCGCGTTTCCGGAGGAAATGCGGGTCGCCGTTTTTAGACCAGCCAATCAGGAGCTAACAGAGTTTGGTAGATGGTGGAATAATCGGTAGGATGGGTCGTAGAAACACTCGGTAGAATGGTCTGCGGAAAAGTCGTAGGGATGCCAGTCCAGTGATATATCCTACCGGCTTTTCATTCGACGTTTTATATAAGAATCTTTAAGGATGACTGTTGGTTCTTGGGTAGCATGTTCATTGCTCATTACAATGACAGGTAGGTCATTTGAAAGAAGCCGTCGTGAAGATGCTTTGTAGAACTGTGAAACGCTCGGTATTGAAATAAACTGCTTCCCTTTGTTGACACTCCCACTTTTCGTCAATAGCGATCGATGTCCGATCTAGGCTAATAGCAGTGCCGCTGTCGCCGCCTTTTGATAGGATCTGGGCCAGTGGGCTGGTGTTAATGGGAGACATTATGTTGTGGTGTATAGCAGCACCGCCCCTGAGGACAATCGATGCCTGAAGTTCGATATCCGGATGTGTTGTGTGTCCGGGTTGTGTCCGGTTGCATAACGCAGTATTGTCAGGCATCTCACGTAACCGTAACATTAAAGCGGCCGCTCGAATTGCTGCCCAAGTGATGTAATTCTCCTTCAGGTTTCTCCCCTCCAACCGAACAAGTGTGTAACTTTGTCTCCCTTCTCGCATATTCAACGGTCATCAGCTTTAATGATCGAACCTGACTCTCAATTGACGCGCTCTGTTCTCCCCCTAGTTCACACAACTAACGAACTAAGAAGGTCCTTGGCGACCACTACCGAGTTTATGTGTCGAATGAATGTCTCCCGATCTTCAGATTGTCTGACTGTTGGGTGCTGATTGACCCGTATCCCTCTAGCACCACCAGGCTGGGTATGACGATCCTTATAATCGCTCTACTGTCGTCTATTCACTGACCCTCACCCTCTACCACCACCAGGCTGGGTATGACGATCCTGATAATCGCTCTACTGTGGTCGTCTGATCACCGACCCGTACCGTTTCTCCGTTATGGCAGGCTGGGTATGACGATTCTGCTGATCGCTCTACTGCTCTGCGGCCTGCTGTTCACCGTCCTGGCCTGGTGCGATTCACACGCCTGGATACACATCCAGAAACGGTGAGAATAATTCGCCAATCAGGCTATATTCTGTTCACCGTACTGGCCTATTTGTCAGGGACAGAGATAGTGTGTGTTCACTTCATCATGACTCTGTACTATTTCTTAGCATTTAGGCTACGTATGCTTTTTTAAGTACTAAGATATTCGTTCGTTTATTTTTACCTTGAGTCAGAACCATTTTAGATTCGTAACCCCGATCTTCCCCACCTGACCATCTGACCCCCCCCCCCCCCCATTCCCTGCCTCGCGTTTTCAGTCGCGACTACCTGCGTGTGGAGACTGCCGACCCGTTCCTGTCTATATGACCTCTGACCCCTCCCCCCTCCCCTCCCCCATGATTTCAGTCGCGACTACCTGCGCGTTGAGACGGCCGATCCGTTCCTGTCTGGCGGCCGGCGACCCCCGCTGGTGGCCTCGGCGCCTCCTGCCGGCAGCGGCGGCTCGCTGCGCTCCGCGCGCACCTCGCCGCACGGCTCGCTGCTGGCCTCCCGTAACCACAGCACGCCACCCACCCTGAGGACCCGCACACCGCCGTTCCCCACCGGCGCGCCGCCCTCCGGGCCGCTGCTCGCCTTGTGAGTGAGGGGGAGGGGAGGGAGACGGGAGGGGAGGGAATCTGCTCGCCTTGTGAGTGAGGGAGGGGCAGGGAGGAGCTTCTTCAGCTAGCTTTGTGAGTGATTGGGGGAGGAATGTGCTTCTTCTAGCCTTGGGAGTGATTAGGGGGTAGGGGGAGCTTCTCCTAGCCTTGGGTGTGATTGGGGGAGGAAGAGCTTTTTCTAGTCTTGGGAATGATTGGGGGAGGGGCTTCTTTTAGCCTTGTGAGTGATTTGAGGGGAGGCGGACGGGAGCTTCTACTAGCCTTGGGAGTGATAAGGGGGAGGAGCTTCTTCTAGCCTTGGGAGTGGGGAGGGGAGGATGAGCTTCTTCTAGCCTTGGGAGTGGGGAGGGGAGGAGGAGCTTCTTCTAGCCTTGGGAGTGATTGGGGAAGGGGGAGCTTCTTCTAGCCTTGGAAGTGATTTGAGGGGAGGGGGAGCTTCTACTAGCTAGCCTTGTGAGTGATTTGAGGGGGGAGCTTCTTCTAGCTTTGGGAGTGATTAGGAAGAGGGTACGGGGAGGGCCCGCTGCTGTATCTGTGAGTGGGGACTGGTGGGGTAGAATTGAGAGACAGGGTGGGAATTAGGTGGAGTGGTGGATGGGATGTGAGGTGGACGGTTGTGGGAATTGAAATGAAAGAGTCGATTGGTCGAATATTGCTAGCAATCGGTCGTAACAGATACCTAACAGCTTGTAATATTGGTATGGCATGGCCGTTGGTCTTGATGCCACTCCAAATGTTTGGGACATTTATTCTGCCGTATGTATATCTGCTGCAGTATTGTGCCCCAGTAACCTCCCCCCCCCCCTGTTCCAGTAACGGCCGTCTGGACGAGCACCGCGCGGGCACGCTGCCGCTGCCGCGCCGCTACTCGCCCGGACCTGTGAGTACGGCTCAGAACGGCTCGCAGTACGCCACGCTCAGCAGACAGTGCAAGACGCTAGAGTCGGCCGACTTCTACTGAGGGGGCCGGGAGGGGCGGAGGTGGCCATAGGCTGTCACAGACTGGCCTAGACTGGCACAGGCTAGTCTAGACTGTCTAGGCTGCCAGGAGCTGGCCTGGGTTATCTTGCACTGGCGCAGACTGGCTTAGGGTGGTCTAAGCTATCACAGACTGGTCCAGGGTGGTCTTAGGTCGTCTTGGGTCTGTCACAGGCTATCCTAGGCTGTCTAGGTCGGCCTAGACAAGCCTAGATTGTCATAGGCTGTCCCAGACTGGCCTAGGCTGGTCTAATGTCGCCAAGGCTTGCCCGGGGGCTGGTCTAAGCTGGCTCGGGATTCTGGTGTGGCAAAGAGACTGTGTAGCGTACTGAGAGAAGGCTATCATCAGTTGGAGATTGTGGGAGCAGACTAACATCAAATCAAGTGTAATGGTTTGGGAAGAGACTAACCCGGCCCGTAGGAGACTAGTGATGGAGTGCGGTGGACTAACGTCAGTTGTAAGTGGTGGTGCATATTACAGTGGTTGATTGTGTGTGGCGGGATTGAGACTAACCCGGTGTGGGGTTGAAAGGGCCTACTAACATCGGTCTAAGTGTCGTGTTGTGGGGACTAATTCTGTTGGTGGGTAATGGGGCGGAGGTCGACGACTCGACACTGACGCATACCCAAAGATCAATGATGATATCCATCATTTGTAATCATCGCTGGTAATCACCACTAGTCGGTAACCATCACCATTGGTGCTGGTGATCGTTTAGCGGTAATGATTCTTGGTGATATATCATCTAGCGTTGGATGCGCTCTAAGCTCCCCCCCCCCCCCCCCCACACACACACACACAAGATCCGGGATTTCAGCCCACGCCAATAACGATTCACAGAGCGTGCATTGGCATCTGCCGCACTCGCGGCCGAGAGAAATCGACCGAGCTGCCGAGCGAATGCCACAGAGCTCCGCTAGCATTCCGGCTTAATGCGCTGGAATAGAACTCATTCCATAGGGTATTGACCTGACGAAGCCTGTGCGGTCGCTCGGTAGGTCGATCGTTTCCACCCAGAGGCGAGATTTTCCACAGTCGCATCACTAGGACCAGGGTTGCTTATGAGGGGATATGGCGGACCATTCTGTTGGACCATTGGCACAGTCAAAGGCAGGTAGTTTGTACAGTGTACAGTTGGGTTTCTGCCGAGGGGAGGTGCCCTCGGGGTTGTCAGTTCGCTCAGCGGTGGCAAGCGGAACAGTCGCTCATTGGATAGGTAGACGGTTAGGAGGAGCTTTTGTCAGTGTGAACCGAGCTTTTGCACTGATGCTGTGTGAGCTCTAGACTAGTTTGTGATTTGTGTAATGTCGATTTTGCAGCTATTTGTAGCTGAGCGCTATTTTCTGGTCTTCTGCGTTGTAACGGCATGAGTTTTGTTTTATTGGTGGTGTACCATGCTACCCAAAGCATTATTAGTCTGTATGTGTGCATCGAATTGTATCTAGTCCAGGTTCGATATGCGTTTATACTCATATTAGTTTGTAATGTGTTGAGCGACGGATAGACTTCATATTAAAATGCGTACTCACATTAACAGGCTATGTCATTTTGTGATTATATTGTACTTTGTTTCAGGATTTCAGTTTTGTGGTGATCAATTTAGTCAATGTTGTACTCCAAGGTCAGAGGAGTCGCTATGTTTATTTGCTCTTATCGGTTTAACAACTAAACAATCGCATGTTGACGCGTTTGGGAGGACACACCCCTCCCATTCAGTGGTGTACGATGTTCAAATTCAAACACCATTCCCTCGCCGGTGCCCGCGCAGTCCCATCACGTGCCCCAGCTCCGATGGAGCCTCCTAGTCAGCCGCGAAAGGAGCCGCCGAGTTTTGTATGTCTGTCTGTGTCGATGTCGCTAACTTTAGGGGGAGGTGGGGGGTTGGGGGGAGAAACTCACCAAATGCAGCTCATGTCGCTGTGAGTTGGTGAGATTTTCTCGGCGGTTTTGGTGGCGTACTGTACATACAGAACACTCTAGACTGAAAGTCGGTAACCAGGAGTGATGTGCCGCGGTCAAAGGCGATCTGTACAAATGGCACAGCCCGCTCTCGCCTGTGGGACGTCATTTGATGACGTCACCACTGTGACCTCATACCTCGGTGATGACGTGTGCCGCCGTGTTGACCGTTTCCGTCTGTGTGTTCCGTTGTTCATTTCAAGCCGTTTATTTGTCCTCGAATCTCTTTCCCAGTGTATTGGAGGTTGTCAGTTACGTGTCAGCGTAACCTTTTCAGTTCTCTGAGTCAGTGACGTTTTATGTTGTTGGTGTTTTGTTATTATTAGAGTGATTCAAGTGCCCACACTTTCAATGTAGTTCTGTGTGACGACCTTAGGAGGCTACCCCGCTCGCGGAGGGTACGCTTGGTGTACAACTACTGCTCTTAGCCGTGGTCGCGGTGGGGTGGATTCCCTCGCCCGGAGTCGTTTTCTCATTCTGAGAGCGGGCGGGGACGGCGTCTCGGTCACCCAATCACGGACGCTGTGGGTAGAGGGATGGGAGAAACGAGAAGGCAGAGCTCAGTAGGTAACTGTGACAGAAAAGATTTTCGCCGCGTTTGGCGGTGCTCTGGCCTGTCCGCCCCGCGCAGTTTAGCGCCCTGGGTCCCTCGCTACCGCGGCGAGTAACACGGGAGAGAGGGGAGGGGGTTTGTAGCATTTTTACCGCTCACGTCTGGTACTGTGCTGATGGCTTGACGCGCTGAGCTATTGTAGATACCATCACGGTTTTGTAGAGACGCGGCTAAAGGAGATGCCAAGCCTGCTGCGCGCGTGGGTGTGTGTGGTGTGGATGTGAAATTCGAGTGTTGACTGTATGGAGTTCGAGTGATTGTGTTTCTGAGCGAAACTGTATGAGAAGTTGTGGATGTATGCTCTCGCCACCGCGCTCGTTTTGATAGGTGTTCTGTGCGGCGCGTCAGCGCTGACGGACCAGAGTCTGGTCTCCCCAGGGACCAGGGACCTCCCTGGTCTCACTGCCGGACCGCCACGGTCCCGCTGAGGGACCTCCCTGGTCCGGGGTTCGCGTTTTCAGATCTCAGTCGTGCCGGCTTTGGTCGCTTTGTGGCCGACAGTTACCGTTCGCTTAGCCCGTCTCTGTCAATAAAATGAGATAAAACGTACCTCGGCTCGGCTGGTGTGAGAGAGGGGTCGGTGCGAGTTGCCAGGCGCTCAAGGGGAGCTTCGAGGGATATGGAGAAGTGCTGTGCTAGACGCAGCTTTGAGTACAGCGAGCTCCACCGAAACACCTAGAATGTGCATTGCTTTCTTCATATCACACACTTTTCGTACGATGCGATGTTTCACGCTAAATTTTAACTCTAAATCTGACTCACGAGGAAACAGGACTTGCGATGAATCTCTTCTGTCATTAACTACGGTACTTCCAAGTCTCGTTCGCGTGACTTCTCGTCCTGCAGCCGGCTACGGTTTATCTCGCTCTCGCCTTTGTCGCTGTTCCTTCAGCTAGCCGTTGTAAGTACGATCGGGGTTCTGTGTGCTGCTGTCTTCTGTTTCTGGGAGTTTGTGAAGGTGCAAGAGCTGACTAGTGCCAGTCGGTAGTAGTTGAAGCATGTGTGTGTGTCTGGCTGTGCTTGTTTGGTATGTGGTTAGCATGGGACGCATGGTGCTATGTTGTGTTGGGGATGTAGTAGTGAATTTCAAAGAACAAAACTTGCGGAAGAAGTATCCTATCTAAATCATTTATGGGCCTTTGAAAATGAGGATACTTCATTCGCGGCTTGTTTTTATTTTTACGATGGTTTATGCCCAATCGTCAACTCAATGTTTCACTGTGTGTCGTTTCAAATGTTATTGACTATCACTGTTCTCGCAAATGTTAGATAGTTCTATTTCGTTTCAAGTTCCATATTATTTGTTTATTTTTATTCCTTAATGTTCCAATTTACTTATCGTCTAGTTACACATTCGGTCTTTTTTGCACAAAAGGAAATTATTTATTTTGTGTTTGATGTCAAGCCTGCTACTATGTTTGGTTATATCGCCATTTTTTCGAATGGCTCAGTCATGTGGTATAGACCACTTAATAATTTAGATCTTGTTTTACAGTCGGCGAATCTCTCGTCACAAACATTCGCCTGAATGAGCTGCCAAACTTTTGTTGTTTTTTATCTGCCGTTTGGTGACTGACGCAGAATGCAACTGACTTTGACGACCAACACCCAGCGCTATTTTAACCCGCGCACCGACGGGGGTCTGCGCCAACTTCGCACCGACGGGGGGGGGGCGGATGACCGCCCCCCCCCCCTGATATCTCGAGAACGAAGCAAGATAGCGACAAGCGGTAAACGGCATCGGATACGCACGGTCAAGATCTACAATTTTTACTAAGGTCATTTTCAGGTCAGGTCAAAGATGACGTCACAGGGGTCGAAAAAGTCAAAATGGCGGCGCTAGATATTGAGAGAGTTTTTCTCGAATAACTTTCGAATTAGTCAAGATAGGAACAAACTAAGGGCATCATCGTGATCCTCTCGTCAATCCGCATCGAATGATATATATGTTGACCTCGAAAGGTCAAGGTCAAAGGTTGACCTCAGGTCACGTGACCTCGAGGTCATCATGTATATCATTCGATGCGTCTTGACGAGCTGAACACAATGAGACCATCCACGCGGCTGTATCTTGTTCCTGTACGGAGTTATTGGCCAAAAACCTTTGGTGACCTTTGATGACGTCACATGACCTCACAGCTGCCCAACAGCAAAACAGACCTCAAGGTAGTGAAGGTTGATCGTATATGAAGTCATGTATGGTATATGGGGCCATTCCGACCCGTTTTAGTGGTAAAAACAGGGAGTTGATTTTTCCCCCATTGACTTATAATGGGGAGGTCGCGAAATTGACCTGACCTTAGGTCACCGATATCAAAATTCCGAGATATACAAATTGTAGCTACTAATGACCTAATAACATCCTGCGACTTTCAAAGGCCTCCGACATCTACTGTAGCTCTGGCACGGTGACAAAGTTGCAAAAAAGTGACTTGAGGTTGGGTCATTCAAAGTGACCTGGTGACCTGACCTTGAAAGGTAGGAGGTTCAAACTTGCACACCATGTGTAAAATTGATGAGGTTATAGTCATACCAAATTTCGCGGCGCTACGCGCCGCGGTTTTCCCGCTATTCGCGAAAAACCTCAGGGGGGGGCGGATATCCGCCCCCCCCCGTCGGTGCGCGGGTTAAAACTCGTGCCAAAACTCCATGGCAACTCCACTGATTTCTATATTGAGGGCACTATGCACACCGTGAAAATGAATATTGTACCTCAAATACTCTCTAACATCCTTGATAATGAAATCTGAGCTCCGTTCCTCAACATTCAAGATTCTGGGTCGCTATATTTACCTTGACCACATTGAAACGGCTGCTTTGTCATGTGACCAAATATATACGCCGGATCTCCAAAATCACGGCTTTTTCCGGGAACTGCCCTGCGGCGAGTGGGGCTATTACTCGCGACACTCTCATTTATGGTGATATTCTCTCGCAAAGTCACGCGCCTGCCTCGTGACTCGGTTAGTGCTGACTACAGCCGGCGCCTGACTCCAAGTCTATTTGCGGGGTCGACGGAGCGTGTGTCAATTTATCAGAGATCCAGACGCCGCTCATGCGTACATTAACGCGATGTTGCAAATGTGCTGCTGAAATCATGGCTGAACGCTGCCGATTCGGACGGGCAGGTGTTATTGCATTCAGCAGCCGGAATATTAGTTAGTTGGGAGATTTCATTCCGGTGAAATTTTATTCATGACATGCGGCGACCTCTGGTAGAGATTAGGTCTTGTTTTGCATCAAAGCTATCTAAATAGGGTGGACTTTTTAGCGTGTCTATTCTTGGCGCACTAAAGACGCACCTCATGACCTTTGCTGAGAGCTCGCCGGCACAAAATCCCTTCACTAGCTGAGCAGCACTGAGCTGGGGTCCGCGCTTCACCTGGTGACCTGAGGCCAGTTTAAGCAACGGAAAAATCGCGGGCTGCGCCTATATTTAGCCGAAGGTCGCCCACGTGTTTCGCCAGCCACGCGAAAAAACGTTGATGTGAAAACTAATGTAAGCCAGTCTAATTAAATGGTTTCACATCAGCAGAAATCTTTTCGCATGTCTTGTTAATCTTGTAGGAGACTTTTATGAATAAAAAGGTCGCAACTCGCGATTTTCGTGCTGGTAAAACTAAAAAAGGACTTTGCCTGGCATGACCTGACCTCCCCTGACTCTACCCTGACCTGACTCTGGCCTGACTGACTGGACCTGACCCGCCGTGTGTCTCGACAGGGAGCTTTGTCCCCCCCCTACCCTGACCTGACCTGACTCTGGCCTGACTGACTGGACCTGACCCGCCGTGTGTCTCGACAGGGAGCTTTGTCCCCCCCCCTACCCTGACCTGACCTGACCTGACCCCCCGTGTGTGCCCACGGGCGGATCCAGCCGTTTTCAAAGGGAGGGGCCAAAGCCGGCCAAAAGGTCAGGTCTCCGAAGGTTATCAATGACAAAATCTCCCGCTTTTCATATACTTGGATTAATTGGGATTGGAAGTGAGGATTTATTGACTTATCTTGCATGCATGTCGTCATTTTTGTGAATTGCAGTCCTGAGGAGATTTCTAAAGGGGGAATTTGATTTGGAAAGGGGAGGGCAAATCATGTTTTAGCCGCCCTCACTTTGGCCCGGTTGCCCCCCCCCCCCCTCCTGGATCCGCCAGTGTGTGCCTACATGGAGCCGTGCCGCCCCCTGACCTGACCTGACCTGACTGACTGACCCGCCATGTGTCAACAGGGACCTGTGTCCCTGACCTGACCTGACCTGACCTGACTGACCTGACCCGCCGTGTGCCTACATGGAGCCGTGCCGCCCCCTGACCTGACAAGACTGACCTGACCTAACCTGACCTGACCCGCCGTGTGTCTCGACAAGGAGCTGTGTCCCCCCCTCCCCTACTCTGACCTGACCTGACCCGCCGTGTCTCGACAAGGAGCTGTGTCCCCCCCCCCCTACCCTGACCTGACCTGACCCGCCGTGTGTCTCGACAAGGAGCTGTGTCCCCCCCCCTCCCCTACCCTGACCTGACCTGACCCGCCGTGTCTCGACAAGGAGCTGTGTCCCCCCCCCCCTACCCTGACCTGACCTGACCCGCCGTGTGTCTCGATAAGGAGCTGTGTCCCCCCCCCCTCCCCTACCCTGACCTGACCTGACCCGCCGTGTCTCGACAGGGAGCTGTGCCCCCCCCCCCCCCCTGACCTGACCTGACTCACCGTGTCTCCACAGGGAGCTGGTCCCGCCCCCTCCCCTACCCTGACCTGACCTGACCTGCTGTGTCTCCCCAGGGAGCCGTCCCGCCGCCATCCTATACAGCTGCCCTGATGCAGATGCCCGACGGCTCAGACTACGACAACTACAGCTAGATGACGTCAGCAACGTCAGTGATGTCGGCGGACACCACGGCGACGTCATCAGTGACGTGGCAATGTCTCTAAACATCGCCCGCCAGGTGATCGTCAGATATCTGATGTCACATCACAAAGACTGGTATCCCCGAGTCAACGTCACTAAGCAGAAACTGATGTGGTGTGGACGACTGATGGTGAGCTGTGATGGACTTATGATGTAGCAGCGACTGATGTTGGGTCAGATGAATTGGGAAGAGAGACTTTGAATGTGTAAAGAGAGACACCAGTGAGGGTAACTTCGAGAGGAGCTTCGGTAGGAACGAAGTGCTAACTTGTAAAGCGAAGAGAAGGCATGCCACACAAAGACTGGTGTTAGTGTTGAGAAGGCACCGTTTGAGAAAAGTTGCCGCTTGCTAAGATACCGCTTTTGTCCTGTCTTCAGCGTGTATCGTGAAGTGTTGTAAGCAAGGAGGGTGTTTTCCGTGACAGTATGGACTTGTGTGACCACGCGGTTGTAACTTTTGGCGGACGCATTGGTTTGAGCAGTTGCTGTCATAGGAAAGAACCGGACTAAAGACGGCTGGATTGGCGAATCGTGTCAATCCGTTAGTTTTCCTCTTTTCGGACCAACGCTGGGTTGCAAGAGAACAGCACGGAGAAACTGTTGATGCAGTGACCCTGGAACCGATATGGTGTTTATAGCTACATAGATCTAGATGATCTGTGCTCAGATGAGAACTAGAACTCAAAGCAGTGATCTTGCCCGTTTGTAGGTCGAGCAGTTGAGCAGATTTTCCGCGCAAGACGCGGGATGCCGTGTGTTCCTTTTTAGACGATAATTCCTCCAGGGAATGGAAGCAGAAACGTCTTTCCAAACAGACAAGCTTGGGTCAATTTAGAAGTTTCTCAGAGTTTGACTGTTCACAAAGACTGACTTGAAGTGCTTTTGTAATTATTTTTACGCGTAGAAGTGTTCGTTTTAATTTCTTACCGAGAAGTAGCTCATTTATTCAAGAGAGACAGTAGACACGTCTTTGTTTTCTGATAAGACGCTAGTCTGAAGAGAAGTTTTCGTTTTGTAAGTTAATGCGAGACGAAAGCGAGGTCCAAGCTGCTGAAGAGAAGCTTCAGCGATGCTGTGTTCCTTGAAACCTTAGCTTATTTGATGCGCCCTTTGCAATCGCTTTCTATAGTTGCCTGAAGTTGTGCCCTAGTATAGTCATGCGTGTTGCTCGTTGAACGTTGCCGATGCATCTTGATTGCAATCGTTTGCAACCTCCTCAGGGGTAAGGAGATGGAAATAGGCACGTGCTGCGACCGCTTACCAGCGTGTTTTCCACGAGCTTCTGCGGCGCTGCCTAATGTATAAACTCGCGTATCAATTAGTTCGTCTTCTGTATCAGTTCACCTTATTTTTGTATGAGAAGTCACATTTCATATACGAACTGTAGATCGCGCTAGGGCGGTTGTGACTCGCTCCTGCCCCTTGCTTGCCGTTTACTGGAAACGCTAATAATGACGTCATTGATCTTTTAGGAGAAACTGCGTTTTAGTTGTGACGGCCAGTGCATCTGGGTCCAATTTTTCTCCATTTAAACACTTCACCATAACCAAATTTCCACGCAACGTCATTTCATGACTAAAGTACGGTATACTGCTTGCTCTAGAATGTCGTATGCTGATGTAATTAACAGTAGAAGTGCTTGCTTTACTGGTGTAATATTTGATCACGGTTGAGAAGTTGGTGTTCATTTTGTGCGTTTGTAGGACCGGCGGAGCATATAGTGTATATATTTGAGTTATCCATATAGTCTGTGCAATGCAGAACGCCGTTCGATCTCCATTCCTGCTTCTGCTAAATGTTGGCCTCGCTGTCGAACTAAATGCCTGGCAAAATGTCTCAGCCTGTCTGGCCTCAGTACCCATCTCGTGCTGTAACTATGCTGTCTGTCTTCCGTTCTGCGTATATGATATCTACACTGTTGTAATACTTGTATCGACAATGTGACTGAGAGACTTGCCGACATGTTGTGTTTTCCTTTTACACCGCCGTAATATCCACGCTGTGACTGCGAAGCTGCGTTTCTTTTGTATCTATTCATATGCTGCTTTCAAAGAATGCTGTTCCTTTCTGTCGCTGATAAATATCCCTATGTTTTCTATATCTGTACATCTTTTTCTGTATCGTATGTAGCCTGTTCTAGCTATAGATAAATTAGGCGATGTCTTTCATCGCCTGCTTTCTTGCCGCTTCCATTGCCGATCTCATTGGTGGTTTACGTGTGCGTGTTTAACTGCAGATCAAACGAACACCAGTGGCTAGTGCAAGGTTAACACGCATTCTAGACAATACAACCTCTTTGAAACGTTCATGCGTGTTTTTCTCCTCAGCTGGGGGCGTCGTGCGGCACAGATTTAGTTCTCCTTCGGTGGGGACTGGGGAGTGCTCGATTTGGAACACAAAGGGACGGAGAGGTGCTGGTGGGATGTCCACGAGACGGATTACGCCTTGAGATTTACCCGATTGCACACCACGGATTATTCGAGAATGAATATAATTTGAAAACGAGTTATATGGTAGGCCTCCAGATTCCTATCAACTTCAGAATGCTGTCCAGGTGTAGCTTCCTTCGCCTACACTAGGTTCTGCGGTGTTTATCCGTTCTCGTTTAACCGTCAGGCTGTCAGAGCTGGTTCCAAGCTCGCGCACGGATTAACACTTAACCTACACGTAACTTAACCCGCGCGGGGCTGGGGGGGGTAAATTTTACCCCCCCTCGCGAATTTTTGCGATATCTCAAAAACGGCGGCGCGCAGCGCCGCCAAACTTTCAGTACCTTTTCTTACATCAATTTGACACGTTCCCTGAAAATTTGAGCGAAATCCGTCGGAAAATTTTTGAGAAATTGACGTTTTAGTGACGTCATGTTCGCCATTTTCGCCTCAAAAACGGCAAAAGTTCAAACGCCGCTAACATCTTCATTTTTAAAGGAATCAAGACGTAACAAAAAAGGTTATACGTAATTTTACTTTGTCTATCAAATGGCTATCTCGGTTTTTTGAAAATTTTGGATTTTGGCCTAAATTTTTTCAAAAAACTGACTTTTTTGGAAAAATCATTATAAAATCCAAAATTTTGAGTCTATCAAAAAAACCGGAATATATGTCAGAGAAGTGGTCTATGTGCACCTACATACCAAATTTTAGAAGAATCAGTTTAAAAAATGTGGGAGTTATTCAAAATTTTATGACGTCACGACACACAAAATTTTTGAAAAATGACTTTTTTGGAAGTTCTAGACCTTGTACGGAAACAAAAATAGCACCATTCGATTCGCCGTGAAAAACTGCATCAGATAGACACCTTTTTAGGCCTTAACAACCAACTTCAAAATTTGACCTCACTTGACCTGACCTGGACCTGACCCCGACCTGAAATTCATCCAGAGGTGGTCCAAATCACTTATTGAGTGTGCCTATTGAATTCTATGAGTAAAATGACCCATAAAACATGTGTCGCACATGCCCTTTTCTATATTTTGTTTTTTGGTGACCTGACCTGACCTGACCTGACCTTGACCTTGACCTCTGAATGATATTGTATGCAACGAATATTGTCTTGGTAGCCTATGAACACGTTTTGGGCGATCAGTCTCAGTCCATGACTCCATTCTTCGGCAACTACGGTGCAAGGCCGATACTGTAGAAACTTGCAATTTGTACCCTTGACCTGACCTTGACCTTGACCTCAAACTTTAAATTAAGTACATGTTTTTAGTAGTTCGTGATGAGAGCTTTCGATTGGCGTTTGAATTTTCCAAATCGGACCATTAGTTCGGGAGATAACAGGGGGGGTAAAATTTACCCCCCCCCCCCCAGCCCCGCGCGTTCGGCTGGAGACCCCAGCCCCGCGCGGGTTAATTACCCGGCAAATACAGTCGATCTCATGCCGCACCGCGCCTCCCCATCGACCAATCGTCGGTCACGCTACATCGCTCAACCAATGACCGGTGCGGACGCAGTCTACCGACGCACGCAGCGACCGACGAGCTTTATAAAACCGTCGTTGGCTGCCGTCGGCAGTCAGAGAAAGCTTCCGAGCTTGGAGCGGCGGGTGCTGAGCCCTGGTGAACTCGGGCAAAGTGAGCCGCAACAGTCGACACGATTTTGAGTCGCCCATCGCTGATATACCAGAAGAGACTGGTCTGTGAAGAGGGTTTGAGAACAGAAGAGGAGTCTGTGCTTATTAGTCTCCTTGAGAGCAAGAGTGGTAGAATCAGAAAGTGGAGTCCTATTCCACCTCTGATTGACCACAAAGGGACCGTCCAAGACAGAGTGCGTCTAAGCCGAAAACAGTCAAGTACCATTGACGAAAATCAGCTGGAAGAAGCCGACGTGTAATCACTTCCAGAGACGGGCCCGCCTGTTATACATCTGAACTCTGACAAACACCCGTTCGAGACCACCTCTGGAGCGATGTCTGTGCGCTCCGTCTCCAGTCCCAGCGGACTCGACACCTCGCTCAGCCCGGCGGAGCGACCCGCGCCCCTGCTCCGCTCCCCCAGCGGACTCGACACCTCGCTCAGCCCGGCGGAGCGACCCGCGCCCCTGCTCCGCTCCCCCAGCGGACTCGACACCTCGCTCAGCCCGGCCGAGCGACCCGCGCCCCTGCTCCGCTCCCCCAGCGAGTGCCCCCGGCCCCGGCCGCGGCCGATCCTCTGCCGGAGTCACAGTCTGAGTGACACACGCTCGGGAACCAGCGCCAAGAGGTCGGTGACCTTCCAGCTGCCCGCCGGCAGTGACGGTGGCAGGAGCCGGGTCGCCGCCCTGGCCCACAGTCTGTGGAGGATGACCCGGACGGCGGGGCGGTCCAAACCCGAGAAGGCAGTGAAGAGGATCCTCCGGCAGCCGGTGGTGCATGTGTACCTTCGCGGGGCCTCCGGTCTGCCCACTCAGCGCGTGCCGCTGTCGGCGGTGGTGACGCGGCACCAGCACCAGCACTCTGCACCAGCAGCGGCCGTGTCATAGTTGGTGTCACTCTAGTGGTGGTGCGACTGGTGCCAGCTCCGGGGGTGCTGGGTGGACTGTATGGTTTGGTGCAGTGGTGCTGGTGCAGATTGTATCGGTGGTGTGACTGACTTGGTGACCAATGAGTGTTGGTGTATGCCTCTCGGCTGTTGGTGTTTTATGGAACTCTGGTGCTCCTGCGGCGTCCCTGTGATGGTGTAGAGAGTGCATGGTGCGTGTGACAAACTGTTGGTGAGGCCTGGTGTGCTGTTACGATTGTGATATCTGTTTGCGGAGTGTGTCTCTCAGGCGTTGTTACGGGCTCCCTGCCGGAGCGTAAACTCGTAACGCGTAATTCTGCGGTATACCGGGTGCATACCGTATACTGGGTGTATACTTGTATCGTGATGTTGCGGTATACTGCGTGTATCGTTTATTGCATATCAACAAGGTTGTCTTTGCACGGTGGCACGAGATTGATAGGTCAGAGGTGTTTGGGCGTGGTCGATGCGATCCGGTTAAGTCTAAAAACGATGAATTTCAACGTCAAGCGAGACGTGGTTCCGAAACGTTTTAAACGAACGTTAGATAATGATGGAGTTAGGAGATAGTCTGTTTCTTACGTTCTTTAACATTCCTGGTAACGAAAATCTTACGTTCCCTCGTGCTTGGCACAGGAATGCGCCAATTACGCTTCACATTGACACACGCCGATGGATGCGGATCCAGCAGCAACAATATCCTTTATTCTTCATGAACCTCTCACATTCTACGCTTTTAGGAAGAGCTACGGGTCAATAACCAGTCTTATCTGACCCTCCGGTTTACTTTTATTCTTTTCGATCGTCATACGGCTTGTAGAACACCCAGTCCCCGTTTCCTAAACGAGAAGAGGAGAAATGAGCAGCAATAGGTGCACAAAGTTTGAGGCGTCTGACCGCGGCGTTCGGAGGATAACAGGAGTTGTCGACAGGATTCGGAGCTTATTAGCGGGATTTTATGAACAATATACCTACAATGAATAGCTCACATCGGAAATACGGTAACGCTTGACGAGTTACAAGAAATCAACACTGCATAGGGATCGTTATTGTTAACGGGCAAAGTCGAGCCATGGATGAGATAATAATGGATTGGTGTCTTCGCAGTTTTTGGCGACATTGAGCTCAGGCCTGCCATCTAGCGGGATAACTATCGTAAGTTAGGAGCAAGCCGAGCGAACGCCGCTGATTAGCATTGTGACACACGGAAGTGTGGTGTAGTAGCAGGCTTGTTGTGCAATTTTTCAAAAGGTTATATCTTTATATGTCAGTAAAAGCAAAGAAATTAATAGATTTATGTGCAGGGTCAGTAATAAGATAAGCAGTTCCATGTTATTTCTTCATTAAATCGTGAAACAGGGAGTTATTGGAGACTTCGCCAGCACGTGTCGTTTTCGCTATTTTTCACACGAGTCTTTACTTGGCCTAAATCAAACAAACTGTCCGATCAAAGAACAAGACGAACGTAAGTACTATCGATAAGCCTAATGAAAAAGTTAAACGGAATTGCTAACGTCATTGCAGCTCAACATGTCATTCAAGACGCTCTATGAAAAGGACCCAACCAGTGCTGCGTAGTTTATGAAATTTCAGTGACTTTGGCTCCAACTCCGATTCCGGTATCCAAATATCGACTCCGACTCCTCCGGGCAGAACTGTCGATTCACACAGACTCCGACTCCGACTCCGATTCTGCAGCCCTGGTAAGTCTGTGGAGTCGATGACTTTTCGGTGACGTTCGACTCATACTCCGACTACAGCTTTTATAAATCAATCAACCGACTCCGAGTCGGAACAGACAGAACCGCTGGCTCTGACTACAACTCCGCAGCCCTGGCCCAGATAGCCGCCTAAAACAACTTTGATATGTGATCTTCTTCGTACATTGTTTTATTACCATTACATTACATTGTTTGTTTGTTATTTTAACCCTCGCATGTGTAGGGGGGGGGGTCGGATGGACCCCCCCCCATGGTTTTTCGCGAATAACTCGCGTAAAAAGCGGCCGATCGCGACGAAACTTTCAGTACCCTCGCATTGATCAATTTTACACCTACCCTGAAAATTTCATGACCCTGACCCAAATGACCTTTGACCTGTGACCTCTTTTCCGAGACCATGTTTGGCGCCCTGTTCATGAAGTCTGCGGCCGCTGCGGCCGGCCGCAGGCTCTAAGCTCCGCCCATTTTTGAAACGTCATCACTCACTCGGCCGCAGCAGCGTTCCATGAACAGCGTCTGCTGTCGAAATAGTTTCCGACAATTGTTTACAACTGAAGCACACTGGTAGATAATTTGTTTACAAAATCGATTCCATGACAAC